ACTCACCTCAGCCTCCCAAAGGTGCGGGATTACAGGCTGAGCCACCGAGCCCGGCTTATACTACATTCTTGATATGCTTAGACCTATTTCTGGACATTCTATTCTACTTCATTGACTGCATAGTCTACTCCTATGCAAATACCATACTGTTTTGATTATATAGCTTTATAACATGCTTTCTGTCTAGCAGGACTAATGTCCCCTCATTGTGCTTCTTGGACTCCATTAGGCAACTGAACCCCCTCCTCCAAGAAGAAGGACCACATGTGCAGCACGTCCCACCCCAGGGGTGCTGGTGGGAACAGGTGACCCTGGCTTGTGCCTCCACCCCCATTCCTGGCCCCAGCACCTCAACATTCACAGCCTTGTCCACGCTTCTCTTGCCGGGAGCGTCCAGGCCTTTGGTGGGGTTGCCGCCCTTGGGGGTAAGAGAGGCTCCCTCGGTTTGCCCACTCAGCTCATGGAGGTTCAGAGGTGGGCTGGGAGGTGGCATTTCGAAGTCCAGGCTCTTGCTGAAGTCAGTCTCCACTGTCACCTTCTTGGGTGACTGGCTCAGGAGGTTGTTGGGCGGTGGCCACACACCCTCGTCCACTTGCCTGGGGTTGAGAGGGTGAGGAGCAGTTGTGAGCCCAGGGGGCAGCGGTGCCCTCAGAAAGAAGGCTCAGCCTGAGGGAGGTGGGTGTGGGGAGGGTGCTGGGAACTTGTAGGCGGGGGTAGGGGAGTGGCAGGAGGGACTCTGCCCAGCACAAGAACAAGCTGGGCCTGCAGCATGCACGGGGTCACAGGTCAGAGCTGAGGTGCTGACCTGGTGATTTCCAGGGGAGCCAGGACGAGGGCTCAGGCGGACCTATGGGTCTGGGCCCAGTACGTGACCCCCTGGCGACCACCCAGGGAGCCAGAACGAGGGCTCAGGTTGACCTATGGGTCTGGACCCCCGTACGTGAGCCCCGGTGACCTCCCTGGGAGCCAGGATGAGGGCTCAGGCCGACCTATGGGTCTGGGCCAGCACATGAAGCCCTGGGGAGTCAGTGATCAGGGACAGAATGACCTTCGGAGCTGGGCCAGCGTGTCGGTGACCCCGCGGCAGCGCTTGAGCAGCCCGTCCAGTCGCTGCGGCTCCTCCTTCAGGAACTTCACGGCCTCCACCTCCACACGCAGCACCACCCGCATCTTGCTCTGCAGGCCCGGGAAGTGAGCTGAGAGGCACAGGGAGGAGTGAGCGGGGCGGAGTGAGCCCAGGACCAGGCAGTGGTGGGAGTGTCACAAGCTCCACTTGACAGAGCCCCAGACCCACCTTTGAGCTCCGTCAGCGTCTCCCCAAGCTGCTTCAGCACCAGCGCCTTCTCCTCCAGTTCCGGGCCAGGTACCAGCCGGTGGTTGTGCGACACCTCCCTCTGGATCTTCTCCACTGATTTCTCCAAGTCACTGCAGCCACAAAGAGACCCTCTCAGTCCCTCTGGCCCCAGCCCAGTCCCTGAAACTAGGCAGCTGGAAAGAAATCAGGCTACCAGTCAGATCAAAATTAAAAGTCAGGCAGGGCGGGTGGCTCATGCCTATAATCCCAGCACTTTGGGAAGCTGAGGCCAGAGGACTGCTTGAGCCCAGGAGTTCGAGACTAGCCTGGGAAATACAGTGAGAAGTGGTCTCTACAAAAAATAAAGAAAAGGCCAGGCATGGTGGCACACGCCTGTAGTCCCAACTGTCCAGGAGGCTGAGGCAGGAGGATCACCTGAGCCCAGGATGTTGAGGCTGTGGTGAGCCATGATCGCACCACTGCACTGCAGCCTGGACCACGGATTAAGATTCTAACTAAAAAAAAAAAAAGAAAAGAAAAGAAAAAAAAGTCAACCACCAGGCCACATGCCCAATGCAGTATCAGCAATGCAGAATCTCAGAGATGCAGACCTCAGAGGGGCTTTCTAGGAGGTGCCCTGGACCACACTCCCTTGGAAGTGCTGATCTTCAGCAATGCATGCCCAAATATCCCTCCTTTGACTTGCACCCCAATTCTATTCTGCCAAGGAAGCTGCGGGGAACCTGGCAGCCTTTCAAAGTCGGAAGCAGTGGCACACGCCCTGGGGGTTCTCCTGTCTGGTGGGACACTGCCGTGTCCAACCACCTTTTCTCAAATAATCCGGCCACTCCATCTGCTTCCTCTTTCCAGAGCTGCTTGAGATTTTCAGCTGGCTTATGATGAGCCCGTGTCATTTAAGACCCCACATCTTTCTAAAACATAAAGTGGACCAGGCCACCACTCCTGGCACTGAACCCTAAGTGGATCCCATCATTCCAAGGCTAAAATCCAAGCTCTTCAGGGCAGCCAACAGGGGCTTAAGGGTAGCCGTTGAAGACTTGGCTCTAGAGCCAAACAGATCCACTCTCCAGTCCCACTGCTGCCCTCCCAGCAGAGAGATCTTGGGTAAGTCACCTGATATCTCTGGGCCTCCACCTCCTCATCCACAACGGGGGGTGGCAAGAGTTCTTCCTTCCCGGGATCATTATGATCAAATGAGCTAATACAGGCAGGAGAGCAGGTGGTGTAGGTGCAGCCTCTGGGAGCTGCTCCTCTTTCATCCAGCCCCATCTGGCTCGCTTCTGTTTAGAGCCTTCCAGAACTCCTCTGAGATCCTATATGTGCTGCCCTCTCTGGCCCTTTATAATGCTGTTTTTTCTGCCTAGAATATTCTATACATACACATGCACACCTATACGTGCTCATTTCCACTTGTCCTTAGGTTTCAACGGGATGCTTCCCCTCATCCCTCTGTCTGGGGTCGGGGGTCCTTTTCCTGACCCCCCTCCCCAGGTTCCTAAAGCTCCCATGTGATGGGCTGTGCAGCCTATGGACCACAAGCCCCAGGCAGGCAAGGGCCATGTCTTCCAGATTCATCTCTGACTCCCAGCACCTGGCACAGTGCCTGGCTCAGAGTAGCTGTCTGATCAACAGTCGCAGAATGAATGAACAAGGGAAAAAAGGGCCCGCTGCCCAGGTAGGTCATCTCAGTTCTGTGCTTGAGTCACTGACATCCCTGACCCACATGTGCGATGCCACATACACTCCTGTCAAACCCCATCTGCTGGATTTCAGCTCAAGCCAGGTGTGAACAACTTTGGAATCTCGGTTCCCCTTGTCAGTCGATCTTATCAGCATGCCTCCTCATACATCTTAATCCAACCAGCGGGTGATGCCAAGGGCAGAAGCCTGTGCCTCAGTGCCACTGGTTAAAGAATTATCTTGTATTAAGCACCTACTGTATGCCAGGTGCTACACTCAGTCCACAACTTCTGTTACCTTGATTAATCCCCAAATCCTGACGGTGAAAACAGGCACTACCTCCAGTTCACACAAACAAACAGTGGCTCAGACATGGGACTACATTTCCCAGCCTTCCCTGCAGTTGTAAGTGGCCATTCGGCTGAGGTCTGCTCCAAGGAATGGGAGCAGCAGGGGTTCATGCCTCTTGCAGACCTGGTCCTTAACACATCTGCGCTCATGTCTCCTTCTGGTGGTTGGAAACTTTCTGGGTAACCTTGGAAGGCCCAGGTGGAAGATGGCAGACCCTCCCTAGCTTGGGCTCCTGGAGGACTGTGTGGAGGGCCACTCAGCTAACCCACCCAATACTGTCCCATGAGAAAGAAAGTAAAGTCTATTACTTGTGAACCATTATACAGCTGGGAGTTTGTTACAGCAGTTACTGTAACTAATTAGCTAGTTACCTACCCTAACAAAGTCTCTTGCATTAAAAAAAAAAAAAAAAAAAGGCTGGGTGTGATGGCTCACACCTATAATCCCAGCACTTTGGGAGGCTGAGGCAGGAAGATCGCTTGAGCCCAGGAGTTGGAGACCAGCCTGGACAACATAGTGAGATCTTGTCTCTATAAAAATAAAAAATAGGGCAACCCCTTCAGGTCTCCTCCCACTGTGGGAGCTTTTCTGTTCTCTCAATAAATCCTGCTTTCTCACTTTATTTTTTAAATTTTTTTTTATTTTTTGAGTGGGAGTCTCACTCCATCACCCAGGCCGGAGTGCGGTGGCATGCTCGTGGCCACCCCAACAAAAACCTGCTGGGCTCTGGCGATCCTTCTACCTCAACCTTTCAAGTAACTGGAACTACAGGTGCACGACACCACACCTGGTTATTTTCTTTTTTTTTTTTTTAATTGTAGAGACAAGTTCTCACCAAGTTGCCTGG